GTGTTTGAACACCGCTGTCTACGCAGCATTGCACGAATCTGATGGGGAAACCGAACGCGCCATGCCGATGTTTGGCGTAGAGTTTTAGGTAATCGCGGTCGTCCTCTGGAACAGGTAGTCAACCTCCACAAATTACGTTGGTTGGGACATTTGCTACGCATGTTACCAGATAGGTTGCAACGGCGAGCGAAGTTTGCCGGGAAGTAGCAGCTGGAAAAACCCAAGGGCGTTCAAACTAAGACCTTCAGTCTGGCATGAGGGTATAAAATTCCTGACCAGGAGACTTTCTCACATAGGTCCCGTTAGGATCCCTAGCTGGGGACCCCGAGATCAGGGTCACCGATATGGCCAGGTGTCGCAAACAGTGGCGTTCATGCATCTACTCATTATTCTTGTAACTTCAGTCTATGTAAATGCGCTATCTTCCGCTTGAATCTGCTCTCAACATTCTAATCATCATTCTGGTGTTCGATCCAAGTGGGCAACCAAAACCGGCGCACGAAAGTGCATAGTTACTGGTTGTAAGAACTGAACTGAATAGGTTGTATATCAATATTACAGGCCAATAACGCCGCGTTTTGACCCTAACCAACGCTGAATTCGTTAATCGAAGGGTTAGGCTGAATTGTTATTATAATCATTATCATGGTACAGTAAAACCGTTACACCCACTCGCAAACATTCTAGGTTATTTTCATCTAGGGAGAATTGACAGTTTGATGTATCGTAATTGTTCAAAACATGAAAGCTGCAGGTAAATAGGAGCATTTCTTGTTTGAGTGTCTGATCCGAACAACGTACGGAGTGTATCGAAAAATCGATGCGCCATGTGATATGTTTTATATAAGTTGTAATTTTGAAAACACAACGATGTCGGTACAGGTGTAAATAAGCCGACATTTCGGCTTATTTTCTTGTTATTTTTCAATTAATTCCTCATTTTGTGTCGGTTTTGCCTCGATTTCACTCCCTCTAGTGTATTGACTTTCGCTCTAAAACAATCACATATTACGATTCAATGGGCTCCGGAAATGACCGGTGTCTTCAAGCTCTGAAGTAAGTGTTTTTGTATTAACCATCTAGCTGTACGTTGTTTAATGCTCTTGTTGAAAACTCCATCTGCTGGGTCATGCGGACCGATTACTCTCCCTCTTTCTTTGGTGCCTACACTACCGAAACCTATGCGTCCTTCTACTGATTTTCCACCCACCCAGTCTTTTATCATGGCCATAATTCTACTGCCCTTGGTTTACCACGTGCGATCCATTCTCACGCTTCTTCAGTTCAACAAAATTTGCACAGTTGTTCGCTCTGCACTGCTCTGATATTTATCTTCATTGTCTTATTACCCCTCCGTTCAATCACCAAGTTGTTATAGGAGGAAAGACAAGTGGTGCTGTGTTACACTGAATACGTGCATAGAGCTGGCAGATGTCCTAACACTATCGTTTTCAATTCAACCTTGTCATTATTTGTGTTTATTCATTTATTTGGTCGATCCGAGTATCCTCAACCGAAATTCTTGGAAGTCATAGTGGTTTTAAAACCCTGATTAGGGGAATTGCAGGTTGCTTTGGGCTCCCCGGTTGGAATCTCGGGGTAGGTGAAGCTGATGACTCGGGACTGAGCGATACGGCTGTGGTAAACAGTGGTGCTCATTCATCGACTTATCTACGCAAATTTAGTTTAACCACCTTCTAGTTGATACTGCTGCTAGCTTACTGCTCTTTCCGTATACTCTTTCATCCAAATGTATAGCCGAAAGACAGTAACCTAAAGCTTGAGGCACATGGTTAACTAGACTGAAAAATTGATTTGAATTCGTGAGCTTGACACGATCTGCATGACCAAATTTTCTGGACGAGGTTTTCCTGCCGTCCAACTGTTTGTATGCTGGTCACCCTTGATCTTTAGCGCACATCACTAGTTTATACGATGGCTTCAGTACTACATGCCCAGTCACCGCAATTATCTAATTCTTTTTTACAAACTTAACATAACCCATCCAGTTGTTTCACCAGACTCGTGCACCGCTTCGCAGCTATTCGATTTATATCGTGGATGAAATATTTTGGTGCGCTCCAAGTGTTCTTCAAGAGTTGGTGTTAAATGGGCGACTGGAGAAAAACTGTACAGTTTATAATGTGTGCTGAATACCTCTAGTTTGTGTACTTGATAAACTAACAAGTTCAGTCGGTTTTTTCATCGTCAAACTGTGAGGTGATTCATATGTCTACTGTAAAGCTCGATGTTCAGGTGTTAACCATGGTAGATTACTTCTCTCATCAGAGCATTTGGGTCATCAATAATGCTAGCATTGTAAAGAATGTGACTTCATGTATATTCAAGGTTCGAGCGGCGCACGTAGGTATAAGGCTTCTTTGGCGTTTCATTGAACTTAAAAGGTGTGTTATGCTGTGTCAGTGCTTGGTCAATTCTGCTCTTCTTTTGTGAGGCCCAGTTTTGCCGGTGGAAAGCATCCATCGTCTGCAGGTTTTCGATCGTCGATTTTTGCGTGGTTCGGCACAGATAGATAGGAGGGAGCCAGCGGGTTAGTAACATTGAAGAAAGTTACCGTGCATTTGAGAGTGCTTCAGTACAAGATTCAGATCTGTAGCGTTGGCTAATCACACCTTGCAATCGTCTGCCGCACTACATCCTGTTACCAGTCTCCACCTCAGGCTGTA